TGTGACGGTTGTGAGCCCCGGATACATTCAGACAAACCTCTCTCTCAATGCTGTAACGGCAGATGGATCTCGCTATGGAGGTGAGAGATGATTTTGTGCCCTCTATCTAAAGAATCTCCACCTCACTGAGTTACTCCAAAGTGTGCTGACGACATACAGCCTCTGGTGGGGACACAGGTTAGCCCTGAAGTACCAAAAGCCAACTCTGCATGCAGGGTAGGAACAATAACCCCCAAAATTTAGCCCTCCTAGACATCAGCTCCTGGCTTCTAGCCCCACCATGGAGTATACCTGCCTGTGCTCCCATACACAGCTGGTGTAAAAACCAAAACCATGCAAGCAGCCCTGTACAGTTAGAGCATTCCTAGGAAAGGTGCTTAAGCGTGGGCTTACCTGCTGGCGTTGCTGCTTACTCGGCTTTCCTTTGGCAGTGATGGACAAGAACACCGCCGAAGGACAGACAGCCGCAGAGGTCGCTCAGGTGGTTCTCAATGCAGTGGGACAGAAGAAGAAGGAAGTACTTGTAGCTGGCCTAACACCCTCCCTGGCTGTCTACCTGCGACACCTCTTCCCCCGGCTCTTCTTCACCTTAATGGCAACTAGAGCAAAAAAGGAGAGAAAAGCAAAGGACTTTTAGCACTCAGCTCATTCAAGCGTAACTGTAGGGAGAGGCTGAGCCCCTGCAGTTTGCCTGGGACATCAGTGGAGCTGCTCCTGCAGGAAAAACTTCTCAAAACGGCGCAATTTACCATTGCATGGAGAGTGGGGAGCAGTTTCCCCCACATCAGGGCAGGTCCACGTGCTGGAAGACAGCCCCTAAACCTCACCTGAAGAAGGGTGCTTGGACAGAGGAGGAGAGCTGGGGCTGCAGGGGCCGCTCGAGGGAACACACCTTGCAGCAGGGGAGGCCCATGTGCTGGAAGACAGCACCTCGCCTTGCTTCACGCACGCGCAGCTTTGCTGGCCTGGGACAGATAAACCCCCGCCGGTTTGCCTTCACACAAGCAGATCTTGGCTTTCCCCACGCCACGGCCCCTGCAAAGTACAGTCCCCGGCTGGGAGCTCTCATGATCCCTGTCTCCTTCCCACGCCTTCTAGTCTGACCTAGAATATGTTGCTGGAAGTGGGAAACTTCACGGAGCCCCTGCTTGTTAACATGCCAAATCGCCCGATACGTGAAGTCCAGCCCAGTGCCACTTTTAAAGAAGTAACTGATGTAAAATTTAAGTTTTATTTGGCAATTATTTTATCTGTCTGAATCACGCCTTACCGATGCCCAGGGACACGTAACTCCGCTAGCTGACAGTACAGCATAACCCCAGCACAAGTTAATGCAGGGGAAGCACTGGACAGATAGAAGATAGCGGAGCAAGGTGTGCTGGTGCGTGCAAACACTGTGCAGCCGACAGCAGCGCGCCTGGCCCCGGCCTAGAGCACGGAGCAGGGGCAGTTCTTCAGACGCCAGGCACACTGTCTCCTGGCAAGCAGAGGAACATCTGTGTGCGTAGGGTGGACAGTGTAGGAGACAGACCCTCAGCCCTCATCTGTTTTAAAGCAATCGCGGGTGCTAATTAGGATCTCATCCAGTGGGGGAATGGTACCTGCCTGTTCACGTATCACAGGCTTCAGGGAGTCTGACAGCCTGGGGGAGGGCCACATTCCGTTCTTCACCCCTTCTCCTCACGTGAGGGATAACAGCACCACCAGGAAAAAGGAGTGGCTGCACAGAGACAGTTCAGCAAGGACAGAAACAATCTTCTTTCAACTTGTAATTGAAATAAAGCCTACTAGTAGGAACAAGGTCCAGACCGCCGCTGCCGCCTCCATGCACTTAGCAGCATTCTCCATGCGTACTGCCTAGTCTGTCCTGCCTGTGAGCGCTCATCTGATGACAAATAAATCACATCGCTATGAAATTAATCCTCTGTTCTACTCCAGCTCCTCACAGCACGTAACATTAGAGGAAGGGAAGGCATGAGGGGGGGGATGTTGGATTTTTTTTCTTACATTCCTGCAAGGTGCTGTCGTACCAGCAGCTGCAGAACATGCTTCATCCCAGCCCTCTTTACATGGTCTGCTAGCTCACAGCAGACATGGTGTGAATCCACACCGAGGATTAGTCACCCTAAAACTCTGACGGAGGAGTGCAGACTTGGCAGGACCTTCTCCTTCAAAAAGCCTTTTCTTGACCACTACAGTTATAATTGCTGTCTGAGAGTCCATCCCAGATGATGACCAGGACATGTTTAACGATCGTATGCTGCTGCTCAGTTAGGGCATCCTCTACCATTTTCACTGGGTCTCAGGTTGCAAATTTGTTACATAAAGGCCCAGTGCCGAAATTCCAAGTTGCAGCTTTCAAGTGTATGTATCTGTTTTCCTGTTGAGATAGGAAACCAAGGCATTACCTTCCCCCCCTCTCCACACGGGGAGATTCGATAGGCATTAGCTGTGCTTTTCCTTTCAGTTTTGCATGTTCAGGTCCTCCATTTCTTGGCAAAATATAGAACTCCTGGCAGTCTTGTCCAGCTGCTCCGTCTTCTGGTGTTTCACATCACGGTTACCCAGGAAGGACCAAGGGGCCACTCTGCATCTCTGTGTTACCATCCAGGGTGCTGAGCGGGTAACACATCAGGCCTGAGGGGAAAAAAATTACATGTGGGGAGTTACTGTGGTTCCTGTTTGAACTACAAGTCAGGGGTTACTGGGAGCCTGTACGTGCCCCTTTGAAAGCAAATTTCCTCTCTGGGCCAAGAGGAATGCAGCACGCTCCATTCCAGAGCCCCTCCGGGATGGGCAGGATGGGCAGCAAGGTGTGTGGGGCTTTCGGAAGGGAGCCTTGTCCCCAGCCACCGTAACCCACTGCTGCCGGCACAGGGGGGCAGATACGGCAACCACCTCATGCAATGCACTGCAACACGGGACCCTCGAGACCCCTCTTGCTCTCCTGGGTCACCTTGCACAGTTACGGAACCGACTTACCAATAGCCAGGATGTCACCAAGCACTTGAACTAGATTATCACTAATATTTCTTGGAAAACAAGCCCTCCCCCCCACGCCCATCTGTCCTCTACACCTCAGAACAGAGTGAAAGGCGTGGTTTTAAAAGACCTACCTGTTGTGACAGCTAGGCTGACTTTCCACCTTTCCTCCTGCAATAAGAGACCACAGGAAACATGCTCATTTGCTCATTTTAAACTCCAGAGTCTTTGATGCAAGTCATGTGTTTATCCCTAGACCTTCTGCCATTGTGATCGTTCCAGGCAAGGGAAAGCTTAACACAAGAAAAGTGCCCAGGACCAGAGAGATTTGGTGAAGAAAATGAACTATTGTTTGTGTGATGAGCACAAGGATATTTCAGGGCCTTCTGCAGCAATAAAGTACATATTAGCTGCGGCAGATCTGCCGCTCGTTTAAAATTCATCCAGTAGACGGGATTTCAGAAACAAACAGCATCAGGACTCAAAGGCAGCCTGCCCGGCAGTCTTGGCCTAACCACAGAACGATGAAGTAGCTGCATTTCTTCCCCTCCTCTCTGCCAAGGCAACTGTACATTGTTGCTATAAATAGAGACGCTCCGGATCCCAGCTTCTTTTAACCTTGGAGAGAGACAACTCAGCCACTGTACCAGCAAAAGAGGCAAAGGGCTGTTACCACCTAGAAACTTCTTGATGCCCCTGGAGTTTCCTCCAGCCCGCGTGCCTGCTCAGGTACGGCTGGTAAAATAATTGGTCCAGAACTCCCAGCAAACCCCGTCTGCCCAGCACACACACAACTGGGACGCACACCCCGCTCGCAATACAGCTGCATCAGCAGAAAAGCCCGAGTGGGAACAGCAGCCAGAAAAGCCTGCTGCAGCCCGGAGGCGAGGGGCACTTCTCGCTGCCTGCTGTTGCCGTTTGGGAAGATAAAGATAGAACTCCTGCATTTGGTTCCCGACCTCACGAGGCTCCCTCCCAAGGTCAGTGCTTCAGCCGTGGAGGTCAGCCTGCAGCTACCACTGCAGCAAGCGGTACACCTGTGCGCAGGCAGCTTTTATTGCAGGGCTTTGCTCCTGTATTCAGATCATAACACTTGAAGCTGTGCCAAGCTGGCCTTGTAAACGCAAGCCACACCTATTTTCCACCTGGTAGGAGGAGACTGCAGAAAGCAAGCCCCTGTCTTTGAAAAGGAACTGGCAGGTCTGGCAGAACAGTAAATACTTCCCATTCTAATAACAAGATTTTGACAGTTTTGAGCTAAAAGATGAATTAATGCACAAGATTGAATTCTAAAATTTCAGCTAACACAGTTACCGGGTACAATCACGCGGATGCCTTGCGGCAGCAGCAGGCAACTCCAGAAGCGCGTTCCAAGCAAGAGCAGTGGAATTGCGTAGTCGGGGCACAGCCGTCCGAGTGTCAGCAGCAGTAACAACGCACAAGGGTAGGACAGCTGCACTCCCACCTCGGCAGTCCTCAGCCGCACGTGGCACAGCGCATGTCAGTGGAGACGTGTCCACATTAGAAAGAGCTTGGCAAGAACAGAGCAGAATGTGTTTGCAGCTTGAAACCTGCAGCGTTACCTCCGCTGGGCAGAGCAGTGATGGAGGTGGCAGGGCCGCAGAGGACTTGGACACCATTAGCCCCAACCATCAACGTTTCAGCTGTTACCAAGAAGATATAAACACTGGGGTAATAGTAAGCCCTCTTCCAAGAAACACAACTAGTCAAGCAAGAGGGAAAGCAACTTTCTACAGCTAGTCCTTCAACAGACAGCTGCTGTGAAGCAACACGGACGCTGCTGCCATGTGCAGTGGACAAGAGGAGTATCAGGTCTCTGCGTGAGCATGCACAAATCGTTACCACCACTGGAGTTCTCACAGCAAAGCCTCCATCCCCTGGAAGCACGCTTTCAAAGGGAACTATGATAACAGTAACAAGAGAGCAAAAGCTTTTGAAATTCTCATCCTTTAATGGTCAATGATAATTCTGGCTGGTTCTGTGTAATACAATTAAACAATATACTTAAATGTTTCCGAAAAAAAAAAAAAAAAAAAAAGCTCTCACACCCCCTCTTTCTGTATCTTTCTTTCATCGACATTCTGCTGCTGGATTGGACTCCCGTGGCCTAACATACAGCTCTCAAGTCACCACACATCCACATCTTAAGTGTAACGAAGAACTGAAAAACCTTGGTGCACCAGTGATGTGTTATTTTAAAAATAACAGCTCCATTAAACCAAATCCTTCCCAGTCTCCACTGCTTCTCAAAGAGGAAAAACAAAATGTTACTGTGGGAGTCTTAATACACTTGTCTTTGTGGGTTTCTCTCTTCCCTGCTGAAGTCATACAGCATAGAGTTCATAGATCTTCTTTACACAGTACACCAGGGCAGCGAGTGCTATCGTGTTGTGCAGTCTCTTTCTGTGCAGGTCGTCCTTCCTCACCAGCACCACCGGAGTGGAGGAGGTGAGCGTATGCAGGGGCAGGCGGGAGAGTTTATAGGCATCGTACTCTACTTGGTACTTGCAACAGGGATCAAATTGCCAGGAGATACCATAAAGGGTGCAGCAAGCCACGCTCAGCACACCAGCAGGCAGGGAGATGTAGTGAGAGTAATCTGCTGGGAGTGCCAGCGGGGTGAAGAGACAAGTGGTGCCCGCTAGCACGGCCGTCTTGTGCAGGCAGTTCCCGACGGTGATCCAGCGGGCCGTCTCATCCCCGATGCGAGTGGGCTCTATCACTATGTATTTGTACTGCGCTTCCAGGGCCTGCTCCAGCTCGTACTCAAACTGGTCCTGAGCATTCTCGCCATTGTAGATCTCATGCACGATGTAACAGTCCGTGGAGGACAAGGTGACCCTGTTCACAGGAAACACAGCATTAAAATGACAGAGCTTAGAGACAGACTTTTCACCCACCCAGCTGTAAGAAGAACACCTGAAATGAGGCAGTTCCTCAAGGTCAGTCACTGCCTCTGTTCAACAATAAGAAGCTTTTCCAGCTCAAGCTTCATTTCACATCAGCTAATTATGCCTGCTGTACATGAAGCCATCCCAAAATAAGGCAACTTATTTTTGCTTACCTTTTCCTAACTTGGAGGAACTGAAACATTTTGAGAAGACAGGATCCTGTTAACAATCCCGAAATGGCTCCTCACACTGATAGCCAAGCAGTTTCTCTAGAGATACTGGAATTGTCACACCTTAGCAACCACACCGGATCAATGAGTGAACCATACAGACTTCAGGAGTCTGCACTGAAAATAAGGCTACTCATCCATCAAGAGGGCAAGTTGCACTGGAAAGTTTTAAGAGAGGAAGCATCTTCAGACAAAGATGTTTGCTTTTTCCCCACAATAACCACCTCCTTGCCACTGATGCAGTGTGCTGTTTAGTTCTCCATAGTAAATCCAACAAGGATGGCCAAGAAATGTTGCTGGGAGCGAAGGTGAGCAAGGTAGCAGAGCACTCTGTGACAGAACAATTCACTCCCTCTGCTGAAATAAGGCACAGCAAAGCAAGAAAGAACATTTTTTTAACCCAGGCAGACTTGAACAGCGAAGAAAGAGCTGCGCGCTTTACCTTGGAGCAGGCTCCCCACTGACAGGGGATTCACAAGACTTCTACATCCTCCATTTCTGCAGCAGCTTTTAGCTACCTAAAAGTGACAGCAACTTCCACCCTCCCTCCAGCCTCTTCACACACATCACCTTAGCTGCAGCTATATTAACATAACAGACTGCTAAGAAATAAGATTATGACTGTTTACCTGTGCTGAGAAAGGGCAAAATCCTCCCTCTGAAGCAGAAGTAATAACTATTTCCGACATACTTGTGCTTAACCAGAGCAAAACTGAGCATGTCGCTTCTCAGGAATAAAAATATCTAGCAGATTCCTTTAGTAGAAGGAGAACAAATCGCACACATATTTGACCTAATCACAGCAGACAAAACTGCCTCATCCCAACAGCATTTAGACCTACCCAGTACAGGAAGGTAAGACGCTGCTGAGATGGAGAATGAAACTAGCATTTTTTGCTCCATTAGCACAATGGTAGTTAAGTGCATGCGCTGGAAAATAAGGGAGAAAAATACACAATCGCAAACTACTGTGTTACCAGACATTACTCTTAATGTGCAGCTCCATTCATGCTGCAAAGGGTATCGTGCAGTGGCCATCTGTAATCAAGAATATTGTTAAATTACAAGCTGTTGCCAGACGTAGCTGCTTTTGTGAACAGCGGCAAACATATAAAACAGCAAGACCCAAGACACAGCAGCCTCTCTCAAAGCACAGTAATAAGCAGTTTCATTAAAAGTCTGTCTGGAATTTATATAAACAACAAGGAAAACTCAACTTACAACCTAGTTATTGAGTTCTCTGCAGTGCATTTGCCCCTCGGCCTGTTCATGGGGTAGAAAGAAAAACAAGACTCCACCTCAATGCTGTGTACGCCAGGGGCTTCTTTCAGGCCATCACCTTGTCAGACACTGTTTGGAAAATGACGATTAACCCTTTCAGCACAGGATATGGTGGGCTCTGGCATTCTGTTGTGAATTGGCAAGTATTTAAAGAAAAATTTTGAAGGACAGCACCGATATAAAAATTTTACAGAGTACTACATCTCTAAATCACTAGGTGTATCAGCTAACATTAAGGGGTTCATAACAAAGAGTTAGCTAACCAGGTGTTACTCTGACACATTAAGGACACAGCTGGTAATGGTTTCTGCCAAGAATTTTTTTTTCTTGATGACAACTGTTCCAAGCACAGCTTCTTCCAAATCAAAAATTCCAGTTTCATTGCAGAAGACATGCTGAGACTTAAGGTAACTCTGTAAAACATCACCGATGACTATGTGCAACCACTTGCTAAGGCATAACGACTTCAGGGAAAAGTTATTGCTGAAAGGCATTTTCAAGCTGGAAGCTGACCCAGCGCTAACACAACCCTCCAGATAAAATTAGTATTTCCTACCAAGGAGCATTTTCAATGTTTTGTAACACCTCGGAACACGCAGCTTGGGTCTGCAAAACAGAGAAGCAGAATCCAAATTCCGTTAGGAACTCTGCAGAGGCGTAGGAACAGCACAGTTGCCTAGCCACCCTAGGATCTCCCAGCCATCACTGGGAAAACAAGGGTGAAGCAAGCCTGTTTCTTCTCTTCCTGTAGAACAGCCATGGGGACTGGGCTTCTAACTCTAGGAAGTAAGTGAAGGAACTAGATTACAGGGGAATTCTCCAGGCTCACCATCAGGACGGGTGGCACTAACCCATCAGCCTCATTTCTCCTCACTCAGGCCTGCCTGTTCTTCCCTCCGAATATCCCTTTTTCCTTTCACCATAACCCACACAAGCAGAGCCACACCACAAGCAGCAACCACCTGTCAGAGCACGGGAATACAATAGGCTTTGGCCAGAGGCACTACTGTCCATCTCTTCTGGAATATTTGAGCTTGCCGGGCGCTGGGGCTTTGTAACAATGAAGTCAATCAACGCACAATCGTCCCAAGCCAAAACAAGCAGAGCTTAAAATACGTTCTGTTGCAAAAAAATTACTGGGAACCAAACCGCACAAAGGCTTCATCTCCGATAGAGTCCAGCCCCCTGACTATGCTGTTTCTCCAAACTAGTGGTCAAGTATCAGAATAAGTATCTGTCACAGTGTTAAAGCTGCAAATGGCAACGGGGGCAATCCAAAAACGAAGGACAAAGAATAAAAAATAAGCTGCTCAAACAATAGGACACATGAAGAGTGAGCAACGCAAGCAGAAAGCCTCAATTTCTGTAGCAGAGGAAGTGGGATTTATCACGAATTATTTCCACACAAGAACCGGCTGCCCTTGGAGGATGTCAACCTGAAAAGTGGTTTGTTTTCAGACAATACAGACACAGATGAGATACGCAGGCTTGAGAAGGTTTTAGAACTTGCTGGCATGCAGAGGACCTCAGTCCACAGAGGCAATCCCTCCTGACGCAGCCCTTCAATTGAGCACAGCACTTGCACATGAACAAACCCAGTCAAAGCAACTGGATTTGCTCAAACACTGGACGCTAGGAGTTTGCCTTTTGGAGCTTGTCCCCCACTCCCAGCACTGACAAACAAAAATGCAGAGCTATGCAATCAACTCCAAGCCAGCATCCACCGGTTACAAACTGTAATGATTTTACATAAATTCCATTTTACTTAAAAGAATAGTAAATAACCAGTGTCAGAGAGGATCTAGTTCCAGAAGTCATAAAATGCTGCCACACGTTCAGAAGCCCAGCATGCTATTTGCTACACAGACCAGAACCTAAAAACAGTTGTTAATAGTATTCAATCAAATGATTCTCCAGGACCTGTGTCTCCCCACCAAAAAAAAAAGAGGACTATGTTAAAAACTGGTGCAGCTGTTCTCTGAGAATAGTTCTGGACCTTATATCCAAATAGTTTATTCTATTGCATCCTTGTGCACTGTATTCTTCAGAAATATTACATGTCCCACTCCTGGTGCCAACTCCATCCATAGATGGGGGAATGTGACAGCACTCAACTATTCAGCATAGAAAGATGAAAATAATTTAAAATCACTGATGTAAAATTTTGGTATTGCCAAAGTTACAGATAAGGAATCAGTTGTTGACAGAGCTACCACCAGCAGGAGGGGCAGAAGCGTCTGTCTTAGCTATAGGGCAAGCTTCAAATTACATTTGGATTATCTTCCTAACATGGGAATATCAGAGGGCACCAGGAGAGGGGTGCTGCGGCTGCCTGAACAATAGCAGCTCCAGCAGCTTCCCAGTTGCAGCCCTCAAGGCAGCTCCATTTCTCTGCCTCCAACGCAGAGGCAGTCTCCTAGCTGCCTCCTGAAAACAGCAGCCTGTCTGCTGAATGTAAGTTTCACTTGGATGGTCTTCATGGATGAAGTAAATACCTTTCTAAGGAGGAGGTACAGTGCCGCTCAGTGTGAAAAGACCTTAAGTTCTGCCAGGTGCCAAATGGCAAAAAGAGAAATAAATCATCACAGTGCTGAAAACAGGGCAGATGACGACATCCTGGAAGAAACCCCAGCATCCTTCTACCACTGTCCACTTGCAGGGGAGAATGACTGAGCCTCACGAGTTCGTTGCCCTCAGCCTAAAGGTGTTCCTCGATCTGCCAGACAAGACTTTTGGTGAGGGTTTCAAGTCGTCCAGCTATCTCGGTTCTGCAAAATGTTCAGAATCACAATTAGAAGCAATCTGCACAAAGCACAAGTACAGTTCTGTGCAAAAAAAGTTCCATTTAAACCCCTCCCCTAACATATAGGTCAAGTTTTGTTTGTTTTTTTAATAAAAGAAGACTGTTCCTGGGCAGCAGTATTGCTTGGAGCACCAAACATACATTCAAATTAACTGCAAATGAAGACCAGTCTGATTAGTAGTTAAAAAAATAAGAAAGGAGAGGCTTGCAGCAGTGTGATAACACCTGTCGCAAGCAGCACACACGCACAAAATCTAGTTTAGCAATGCAACAGAGAGACTTCGTGATGGCTGTGCAAGTGAACTGCAGAAAAACGACTTTACCGATGGCCAAACCACAGTGTGTGGAATCATTATTAATTAGCATCTCACCCAAGCTTGAGTAAGTCAATAAAGTCAAGACATAATAAAAAATTCAAACACTAAACTTCCCTCCACCCACATAAATCCTTCTTGAAATTTGATTTCAAGATTTGGGAATGAGCTGTGGTCTGGCTTTAATTCTCAGTGGAAATACTCCACCTCGAAGTCATATTCAACAGCATATTTTTCTACTCGGGAGGGCTCCAGGATACAGGGTACAGAAAGTACTGACACATCTGAGCTGAAACACCTGAGGAATTGTTTCTCTGCTGAATGTCCCCACGATCTACCAGTCTCAGGCCATTAGCCGCGGCTGTCAGGCCTATGGCTTTAAAAAGGCCATTCTCAACAGGCTGTCAATGCACGCACTGAAGCAGAGGAAGAACAGGAACAGCGTAGCAATAAAGCAAGACTGCTGTTCAAAAGATGTACCTTAAATACAAATAGGAAAGAGAACAGGGGAGCATAAGCAAGATCTTCAAGCAGCCTCGGCAAGGGAAGACAATACTAAGGAAAACATTGCCAAACCATAACAAAACACTCCAGCCACCAGACGAAAAGGAGGTGTCAATTTTAAGTCAACTAATGATTAGCCAGGCTAATGGAAATAGGTCAATCATTGCTGTAAGCAAACAGAGTACCAGAAATCTGAGCAGTGCAGGCAGCGAAAGGAGAGACCTCTTTAAGGGCGCTGAGAAGCCAATGCAAGCAGTGGCGATGACATTAAAGCTGGTCTTTCTGGAGTTTGTTAGCACATCTCCCGGGGGAACAAATGGCATTCTGTCTTGTGTTCTGGCGGTCATCGCACTGAATTTTATACAAAAAAACACTAAGTACAATTCAGTGTCTGTTCTGTATAAAAAAGTTGGTTTGGTCTACAGATTAACAACAATTCCCTTCAGACAGTCTCCATTAAAGAGTCTATCCAGAATGAAGAAAAACAAATATTTAGTCGGTTCTCTTCAGTGTTTTGGGTTATTTTGTTTAACTTTATTATTTCACCACTAGAGTGCCAGCTGGAGTTCACAGCTAACATCCTTTGAAATTAATGTCCTTACACTTAGTCCTAGTGAGGAAAGCACTTTTTGACCAATTACAGCCTGCCCTGTATCGATAAAGTCGTTTATGAAGGGATACAGTCTCCAAAGATAGACCTGCTGGACTTTTTTTTTTAACAAAAGTTGGTCTAGTCTAATAACAGACAGTATTTTATTCACTCCTGAGTCTCCTCGCGCCACCTCCCAACACAGAGATGCCTTTCAGACGAGCTGGCTGACAACTATAAAAACTCCTTGAAGCAGCTCATTTATGAGGAAAGCTGGATTCGAATATTCAGTTCAAAGGAATGTGTCTTTGGACAAGAATCCTGCTCCGTGTAAGAAAACTGTATTCACCATATAAAAAGCATACGTCATCATTTGATGACATCAGGTCTGTCAGCACTGCCTTTTACACAACTGGCGTTGCCAGCAGTCAAACAAGATGGGTAGGTGTGATTTGGGATTAGCCACTGATGGAGAGAGGCAGAGGCCCAGTCATGCGTATCTCCAGCTCTGCAAGGAAGAAGCAGTACCTAGCTGACATCACCCGACACCCGTCAGAAGCACGATCTATCGTCACGTTCGTATGGGATGACACCTAAAAGAACCATCATCTTTCGACAGGGATTGTGAAACACTGCTCAATGCTGTATCTGTTGTTCTGCTATGTCACTTCTGAGCTGTCTTATACTTAGCTATATACTTCTCATTGCCAAAGGAAATGCAGCAGGTTCATGACGTAACTCCTGTTTATGAATAAGTATTTTTGATCATAAGATCAAGAGTAATCATAGCTTAAAAAGTCACCTCAATCTACAATTACGTTATTGTATAGTTCACAGATTAAGTTACAAGGTAACAACTCACTTTTAAGTCTGCATCAATCCTCATCCTGGTAGAGTAATTTTCACCGATGTTATTAAGTGCTCTTTTCCACACTTTTTTCTTCACTTCTGCTGGGAGGACAGGTCTACCGCATGAAAACTCCACACCTCATGCGCTTAGCTCTGGGGCAGGTGCCAGCCTGGGAGCAGACAGCTTTACCACCGGGCCACCGAGCTCCGTGGTATTCTTAGTTGTTTATATAAACTACACTGATGCAGTAATTCCATTGGCTCTTCCAGTTCAATTACTTTTAAGTTCCTTTAACACAAGCAGCGTTCCTGCAATTCACACTAGCACCAGGATTTTACGGGCTACTTGTGCCTCTCCCTGGCTATGCAGATTCAGCACCATCACAACCAACACTACCGAATTACAGCAAGGGAACACAACGAAGTAACAGCCACAGCAAAACCGGAGAGACAGCAGAGTCTCTAGGCAAGGCGGCAGGACAAAAGAAAACTCCTCACAATAAAACCGCAGCTTTCAGCAGCTGCGGGTTACATCAGTCAGCCCTGG